TTTTTTTTTTTTTTTTTTTTTTTTTTGAGGAATTGATATCCACGTATGCGTAACAATTGACCTTGAACGATATTGTAAATGACCTTCAACTATATTCCTCGCCATATTCGAATAGCAATGAAGAAATATGATTTATCCTATACAAGTTCTTCCTCTTGCAGGAAAAAGAAATAAATTCATTTCGCAGATTCATGCAAATTCGATTCTTTAAAAATCTTACGAGCATCAACGCAAAATCTATAATCCATAATGAAAATTAAATATACGTTCATTCCTGCGAATCAAACAACATAAACAAAATAACAAAATTAGATTAAAATTACAACGAAGGGACGAATTCCTTCTCGAAAACGGATACGCGTAGAATTGGCGGCAAATACGAATGAGGTAAAGCAAACATCGCTAATAAGAGTCGATACATCGCGTCCGACGTTATCGGTCGAGCATCCAGAAAATATTTACGACAAATATTTGCCCGCAGAACAATCGATTTCGATTAAAGGCACGTTTCTATTTTCGTTAACACGCACGCGGCGTGTATTTAAATTTCGATTATCAAAATACGGTTCTGGTAATGGAGGCTCCCCCTCTTCCCTCCTCCTCCTCCATCTTCCCTATTAAATATTCATGCACAGCGCCGTTTCTTTACAAATCGTAAGGCTACGGACCGCGCGTGTGATAAACGAGAATCAATTCCTTCGTTTAATTGGAACAATTTCCACGGATTAACTCGATGGAGCGCTGTTGCGATGTGATATCGTATGTGCGTTGAATTCTTTTTCTTTTTTTTTTTTTATTTCTTCTGCCGTTGTTCCGAGTATCGAGTACATTTCGAGCAAAAAGTATATAGTTGTTGAAACGAAACTACGTTTCTTCGAGATTAATTTTAGTGGATTATAATATACATGGAAAATATTATGTTGAAAATAATTCTCGAATCCTCGCATTGATCGTTTCAAGTATTAATTTTCTGCGTAAGAAAAAAAGAAAAAAAAATTAGAGACAAATTTATTTCCGAAAAAATAAATTTTTTCTCGTTATCTTTTATTTCTTCTTATATTTTATGATAAAAATGAATAAGCTTCGAATTGTTGCAATTCGTTGTATCTTTGATTGAAAATTGTATTTATTCTAGATTGTTCTTCACGAAATATTCGAGATTCGTAAATGTTAAAGTATGAAACTATTAAATTTTCCATGTAATTATACTTACGCTTTATTTTCCTCTACGTATATAAATGTATTCTGTGATTCTTTTTTTTGATGAAATAAGTATATACATTCGTTTAAATTAACATTTCTCCCCCGATGCGAGATACAAAAGATATTAATTGTAAAATATTCGTGAAACCGTGAATATAACGTATACAGAATTATATTAACTTTTATGTAAACCAATTATTTCGGTTAAAGTGAAAAGCAAATGTGACATTTAAATTACAGAAGCGTATTTAACTCTTCTCGAAATGTTGTCGATCCATGAATTCTGACGATTCTTCGAAAATCCAAATAAAACCACGAATTTCAAATTTTTTCCAATTTCATTTCTGCCTGTATTGCGTATCGATATTTCGAAATAACAATTTCTCTCGAAACGATGATATTTACTCCTGTTAAAAAAAAAAAATTCAAAACTTATCAAAAAAAAAAAAATCGTGAAACATCCGCAAACATTAATATTTTCTGGAGACGGAAAAATTTTCTCCATTTTATCTCTTCCTTTCATCGAGAAATCCATCCAGAAAGAGAATTACTCTTACTCTTCTCTGAAAAATACTCTTCTCTTTGATTGCATCGCGACACCATAATCCGAGTAACAATTTCGCCGTGGTAGAATTAAAAATCGATCTCTCGTAATTAACGCGTGAAAATCTTCTAAAAGAAATTCCCTTCTTCGTCGTCAAAGGAAAACAAGAGATTATATACCTTTCGAGGATCTAAAAACAAAAATATCGGTTGAGGTTTATTTATCAAAGGAAAGTGCGTCGTTATAAACCTCGATCGTGTATAATAGATAAGCTTGAGACAAGTTTTTATGTTTATTTTGATCTCTAGAAGAGTCTAAACTACGCGTCTACGTGAATTACATTAACATCTAAGCAAAAAGAAAAAGTGAGGAAAGGAGAAAAGACAGAGGATTGGTTACAAGTTCGAGTGTTTCTTTTTCAGCGATGAAAAATGGGAAGGTGGAGGGAGGGAAGATAGAATGGAATTACTATGTTCCAGCTTCGACAGTTCTCGTGACGATTGAACAAACTCGTCGTTTAATAATCCTTGTTCAAGCCAAGAATTTGGCTTTTCCTATCCCCCGTTCCCTTTCTTTAATGTTTTAAGTTTGAAGATCTTGTTTCGTAGAAAATTAAAAACGAACCATTCGATTAGTTATTTAACAATTTTTGAAATTTTCTTGCAAAGAACTTTTGTCACGTCCTATTTGAACACCAATAGGATTCAATTTTTTTTTTTTTAATTTTAATTAACGGAATTAATGATTGGTAAAAGGATATGCGTACCTCAAATGGAACGGTGGCTTCCTTTTGCCTGCACAATCCGAATTTATTCTTCAATGCTTTCATATTTGACACTCTCGACGCACTTTCTCTCTTCGATAAAATTCCAACTCCAATAATTTTTTAATCTCGATACACGATTTCCATTATATTTTGCACGAAAGATCATGAAAGATAATAATGGTAATAATGGTAATAACGTCTCTTGGAATGGAATTGGAGATAATCCCAAATAAATTAGGGAACTAAATATATTTCCATATCTAATATCTAAATCAATTATTATTATTTCCAACGTTATTATAACAAGATCTTCCCTAAATTAAACAAATAAAATAATTAAAAAAGAGAGAATTAACTGCCAATTCTCAAATTAACTCGATTAATGATCCACCTTTCGTTATACCATTACTTAATTATCCTAAGCAAAGAAATAGCATCAATAACCCTCCTCTAATTTCCAATATCCTAATCACCAAGTCGCCCAACCAACGATTTCATTAAACGTGATTACTCTCTCGTCGAACAACCGGTCACGAAATCGTTATTAATGCCATCGAGGGAAACGCGTTCCTTTAATTGAACCACCACCGTCACGAATCACCTAAGAAATAACGCACGAAAAACTTTCGTCCGTTTCCAAATGTAATATTAAATTCGAGCGTTAATTGCGTTTCGGTTTAATGGAACGATCGCGTGATTGAATGGTTCGTTCTTCGGATAAGATCGAGATTTTCGAACGAAAAAAAGGGTTCCAAGGGGATTTTATTTATACGTGGTGGATTAATAATTGGTTGCTTGATTCTTGGTTAACATGACTTGGAATCTTTGAGAATGCGAATTTAATAAATGTAAACTTTGAATGTAAAAAGCAACGTATTTTAATATTTATTTCCATGATATAACGAATTATGCATAACAATGATGTATTAAATTTCTACAATTGGAATTAGTTGATTAATCCTCCCTTTAATTCTCCTTTTTTAATTATTTTATTTGTGAAAAGTAACGATAGATAAGTAAAATAATTTATAATCGACAGAGATTAAGAATTTAAGAAGAATAAAAATGAAATAGAATTATCTCATTCTCTTCCAATTTTTCTCAACGTATAAAAAATTAATTCATTAAACACGAATTATAAAATTATAATGAAAACGTAAAAGAGCAAATCTATCTACGGTACAAAATATTTAATGACAAAGATAACAAAATAATGACCGCTCCCTCGATCAACTAAATTGCTAAACTACCACGCCAATTATTACCATTATCTTATTTATATACATTAAGAAAAAAGAAAAAATCAAACGAAAAAAAATTACAAGCTCTATAAATAAAATAAAATAAAGAAAAAAATCACGTTTTAATCGACACTCAAACACTTCGTGCCTCCTTTTCACGAGGTCAGAAACGCGATCATCGAGGTGAAAGAAAATTTCACCGATATTAATATTCATTCGACACCGTACACACAACGATCCACTCAACGAATAACTATATCATTTTTATTCGACGCGATTGCCGCCAGCAACGTCCATATCGCACTTGATTCGAACGCACACGATTCGAACGACAATTCGAGCGGCACTGCTCGCAACAGTTGGAATCGCGATAGTCGACCAAGAGACTTTAGGTAGGGGAGTAGGAAATCCACCAATTCCCAATCGAAGAAGGGGCCTATGCCATTTCCAATTCACGCGTTTCGTTATCGCCAAAGTGTTTTGAAAGGGCGAGATGTGAAACGAGATTTTCGAATGTTGATTAAAAAATATAAAAACCGATTCCGATTTTCTTTTTTTCCCCGTTTAAAAGTGAAATAAATTTTTGTGTGGAATATTATTATTATTATCGGTGAATAATTATCAGAAATAAGGATTTTATTGTACGCTTTTTATATATCTGCGAAACTTAGATTTTAGTAGATTTTGAAATAGATTTGAAATAATAATCTTTTTTTTTTTTCTTTTGAAAAGCGTAAAACGATTGAATGATTTTTTTTAAATATCGAAGTTATTGGGTAATTTTTCAACGAATAATAATCACGCGCACGATTCAAATTTAAAACAAGAAAAAAATACGTACGAGTGTTTGTTGATAGATAGGAAGATAGGATCATGAGGAAAATGGTGACGTAAGGTGGAAGACAAAGCGAACTCAATTTCGAGTTTCCTCTGACCAGTTCGCCACGTAGTTCTACACAAGGTATAAATGGGAGCCGATGGTTAAACGCTAAACATCGGTTTATCTTGACAGAGGCCCATAGCGACTATAGATCATTTAACGGGCTGGCGCACCTTAACACTCGACGTCTCGAATCGAAACTTGCGTGTAACTAGTTAACCGGAGTTCCGCTACAACACGTTGCCCGGCGGAATTTCCGTTGTTAATCGAGAAACTCGCGACACCGTATTCCACCCTCTAATTACTGCTCCTTCGTGGACACAGCCCCCTGTAATATTATCGTTTTATTCGTGCTACTGGATAGAAATTGGAAATGTGAATTGATCGGTTGTTTTATATTTTCATTCTTTTCAAATATCTCGAAAAGAGAAAATTTTAAGCGTAAATTTTATTACGTTATAAATATACGTTTATATATATATACGTTTTCGATTGGATTTTATTAATTTTTTGAAAAACTGGAGGTTGTTCGAAAGGAAAAGAAAGAAGGTGAAATTATTTTGAATTAAGAAGAATTTTTTATATCAATTCTCTTTCTAATAAACGTTATTTATAGCGTAATTTACTTTAGAATTCGATTAAACTCGATTAAAATTAGGAAAACTTTGAACCGCTATAACTTCGAAGATAGTGACTTCCGGTGGACGAGTGAACGATCGTTAGAAGCGGGGAACCTTCCTCTTTAAAACGCTTTTTTGTTTATCTCGATACGACTTCCGGTTCCCGAAATATCATCGCATAAAGAAAATGTAATTTTTAATCCTTTACCTTAAACTCTATTAAAATTAGGAAAACTTTGAACCTCTATAACTCCGAAGATAGTAACTTCCGGTGGACGAGTGAACGATGGTTAGAAGCGGGGAATCTTCCCCTTTAAAACGCATTTTCGTTTATCCCGATACGACTTCCGGTTCCCGAGATATCGTCGTGTAAAGAGAAACGTAATTTTTAATCGTTTACTATTTCTATCCTTGTTTCTTATTCGGATCTCTCGCTCGCACTTCGCCTCACTGACCTATCCCAACTCCAGACGAGCGACAGACGCGATTCTTGGAAAGGTGCTTAGTACGCATTTCCAGGAAAAAAATGTAGGTCAGTGGGTCGCGGACTCATTCATTATTTTTGTAAACGTATGACCGCTTTGAATCCTTATATCTCGACAACGAATTGAGATATCGGGATAAAACAAAAAGCGATTTCAATGGCATGTTTTCCTCTATTTTTTAAATGGATTTTGATGATAAAATTTTTAATTTTTTCTCACGTTTTTTTTTACATGAAAAGTCAAAGTTTCATTTGTCACTTTACAATTGTAAATGCAACAATTTGTTATAATGATATAAAATATAAATATATAATATAAAGCATATAATTTAGCATGCTTTTTTTATACAATTTGACATATTTTCCTTATGTTAATTGAATATTTTATCTACGTAAAAATTAATAACTAATATTTTATTATCTAACAATAACTAATATTTTATTATATGATTATCAATAACATCTTAAGGCAAAGAATAAAATGATACGAGTACGAGTAAAAGAATGCTAATTCTCGAATCTAAAAAGACTTGAAAAGAGTTTATTTATAAAGAGGAATGAAAATCTAATACTTACTTTTAATTTGCGCCTTGCGTTGAATTTCTTCAAGCAATCCACAGTCTCTTGTCTGTGGACAACGGACGCGACACGTTCACGTTGCTGTAACACAATAAGAAGAAGAAAAATTGTTACGTTAATCATCGAAGACGTTTTTCAAGCGATATATAGATAGTTTCACGAGATTGATTTCACTTACGCAGATCCATGGGTGCTTCAATGCCTCGCTGGCGGTGATCCTTTTGCTTGGGTTCACCGTCAGCATCTGATTGATTAGGTTCTTGGCTTCCGGCGTGACGGTGTCCCATTCTGGGCTTGGATACTGCGCCAATAAATTAAACGAATGATTCGTCAAAAGTCGATGTAAAAGTCGATCGATCGAAATGCGAAATTAATTTATTTTATTTATTTAATTTATTAATATAATTTTATTCGAATTAAGTTAAATCACTGATAATTTCGATCGATCCATAAATAACTTGTTATACACTCGATTTATTATAATTCTGAAATAATATTGTATTTGTACAATTAAACAACAGGAAGAAAAATTTTCTTTCAAATCCGCAGCGAGAATGGAGAGAAATTTTTCAAAAAAAAAAAAAAAAAAAAAATTGAACGATATAAAAAGTCGATCGCAATCGAATCGAAGGAAGATTTCTTGGGGAATCGAGTCGATAGAGGCAACTGATTCTTACGTCGTACGATCCGGCCTTGATCTGCGCGTACAATCGATGCTGATCCTCGTCCCAGAATGGCGGATAACCGACCAGAAGGATGTAAAGAATGACACCGCACGCCCAGATGTCGACTGGCTTGCCGTATGGCTCTTTCTTGAGGACTTCCGGGCTGAGGTAACCGGGCGTCCCAGCGAAACCTTTTTATACGAGATTATCAGAGGTCACTCTCCACGGAATACGTATATTTTTTCGTTCAAATATTAGATGGAATGCAGAATTTTCTTAATTCTTTCTTTCTACAACAATAATTGATAAAAGTGCAATTTTCGTGGGATAAAATATTTTATTTTACAGATTTACATTGTAAGAAATTTAAATATCGTATTCACAATATTTTAAGAGAATATTGCGCGAAATTTTAGCGAAATAATTTCGAAAATAACGGACTGGTGAATACTTTATAAATATTTTTTATACAAATACAAATTGTACCACGATTCAGCGATTGGAATATTTTATCCCTGAGATTAAAAAAAAAAATTTCGTTTAAACGAAGGAAACGATATTTTTTTCTTAACTGTTGACGATATTGGATGCACTTTGAAGAAGAAAAAAAATTCTAAAAAGAACAGAAAAGTTTGAGACGAGGAAATTTCGGTTCGCAACGAAGAAAATCGATGGTAATTTCCCGAGAATAGAGAAAATCGAAGCTAATCTCGTTGCTAACTATATTTTCTACTATGGCTCACACAGAGTCGGCCATTACTAAGTCTTGGAACTTTCTACGATCCAAGTTTCGAATTTCCCGCGTATGATGCGGAAACCACAGCCAAATCAGAATGTCGAGGGAATTTCGAGCTGTCGAGAACGGAAACGAACATCAGCTAGTTTCAAACTGATAGACGAGTCGAGGATGAAAAGGAGATTGTTTCACAGATTCTCGGACATCAAAATCATTTCGATTCGTTGATATATTCCCCGATATATTTATCAAGAGAAAAATATAACTTTTTACCCCCTCGTCTCTTTCCAAATATTATTTTAAATTCCACGTATCGAGTACGAGGAGGAAAAATTCAATCAACGAAGAATTAAATTACCTTTTAACTGTTTTCTTTTTTATTCATATCTTTAAGTAAAAACTTAAAGATATATTTCTCGAATCGTTATCATCAAAGATTACAAATACGAAAAAAGAATCCAAAAAATTATTTAACAAAAAACTATCGACAAACGAAAATGCGTACGTTCGAATACATATTTTCACACTCGTACTTTCGAACAATTCTCTATTTTTCAATTTTCCTTCTTTTTTTCGAAACAAAATCCCGCACAAAACACGCGAGAAGACTATTCCAACCGCGCATCGTCTCGATCCGACCTCGATTGTTAGATCCGTGGAAAACAACATTCAATCTCCCGAACAATATGGAGGAATCTCAGAGGGCAAAGGGAGCGCAGAATTTTCCGGTTTGATCCGGGCCGTGGTACGGTTCTTTGACCGCAAACACAATACAGAAAATCTCCCAAGTGGGGTGGGGAGAGGGGAATCTATTTTGCCTGCGAAAACGCGGAAACTTTTCCAATAGTACGAGGGGAGAGGGAGGGAGGACTTCCTACTTTCCAAGCAAAGTAAAAACAAACGAGAACACCCGGTCGAGGAAGGCGTGACGCGGTGTTCCATAAATGTGGAAAGGAAAATTGTGGAAATCGAGGTGATTTCGAGCAATAATTTCCCCTTCCCCCCCTCCCCTTTCGAAAATAAAATTTTTGGTTTCGATTTGGTTAAGTTATTAATGGGATTAATTAAAGGTAGTGTTGGATACGTGATGCGATCGAGTTCGAACAAATATCGAAATATAAAGGGATTGTCGAATCGAGGAAAATATTATATATAATATTATATAATATTATATATCTTATCAATTGTCGTTCTATCTGTGTGAACAGAATTGTACATGTGATGAAGTTGAAACGAAAATTTTTTGCAATTTGGTTGGAAATCATCTCGACAATTTCTATTGAAGTTTCTGTATTTTTTTGGGACATCCTACATAAATGATTGCACTCAGTTGACACTCGTTCCTCTTTTTAGCGTTCGACACGGGAAAAAGGGAATCGGGAAAATGAAGGGAGACGTCGAATTCGAGCGAGCAACACAGTTAAAGCGAAAAAAGAGGGATAGGAGATAAACAGGGAGGGAAGAAATTTTATTTCTGGAAAACTTGTGTTCACGTCATTGCGGAAATGCAAACGGATTCTAAATAAACCGAGTCCTTGGCGATTCGTCGACCTGTAACCCAGGTTTTCTATCACTTTTTGCTCTTTTTTTTTTTTTTATTCCGACGCTATTTGACATAGATTATCGAGCTCGTGGCATGAATCGAAATGGATTCATCGTATCAAGAAATAAAAAATTTTCAAAGGAGAGAAAGAGAAAGATATCTCTTTCTGGAGAGAAAAATTCTTGAAAAATTCAATCTTATCTAAAATGCGGTTCGCGTGAAACACTTGATCTGAAGAAATTGAATTTTTTAAAGCAATACCGCAAAAAATATCGTAAAATAAAAAGGAAGAAGAATATTTGAATATTTCTTATATACTTCCTCAGAAAACTTCAAATCATCGATATTTTTCGAAATGGGGGAAAAAATTATAGTGGAATTTATTCTCTCTACGAATCTATTCCATTTCTCGAAAGAAGGGAAGAGGAAGAAAAATAATAATATATCTAAATCGATTTCGAAAAACGATATTTGCAAATTATAAATAATATTATGCTTATATAATATCGTTGTATCTGTACTCCTTCCTTCTCGTAACGCGTTTTTTATTTAAAATATTCTCAATGGTCACTATATAATTAATTTATAATTATGTTTATACAAAATCAATTTATTAAACGATAATACGACTTACTTTCGCGACGAGGAGACGGAAACACGTCCGTTCCGCTCGGTGTTTGGAATACGACTCCGTACGAAATCGATATTTTGATTATTAATCTCGACCGTTTGTTGTCGTTTCCTTTTGCCTCGACTCGTAATAACATTAATACTACATACATTTAAATTTAATATTCACACGCGAATTTAAAATTATCGAAATTAAAATTATCCTACAATTTTTTACGATCGAGTAAAAAAATCAACATCGATTTTTACCAAATCCACGCAATTTTTACTTACGATTGTATAAAAATTGTAAAAAAAAAACAAAAAATCGAATTCGATCGATTTTCATTGATCCTCGACGATCTTTTCAATTTTTTAAGCATCACGGAAGGAAATCCATTTTCCAATTTTCACAATTTTCGCGCGTAATAATATTAATGCCACGTTCGAATCTCTGTCGTGGTCGAAATTGGAAAAAGGGTTACTTACCGAACCATGCCTGCGCTTCACCCTGCACCTCGATCGCCAATCCAAAGTCCGCTAATTTCACAGCCGCGCCCTTCGCCTTACTTGCGAGGAGTAAATTTTCGGGCTGCAACAGGAAGCAGACTCGTCGACATTCCTGCTCACTCTTCCGACAAACCGTTGCCGTTGTCCTGCATTTTTACGCGGCCATGCTGTAGGTTGATCCACCAACAGGAGATATATACGTGCATGCTTGACACACATTGCGGCTCTACCTTCTACGCTGCGCTGCTTTTCACTCTGTTTTTTTTTTTTTTTTTTTTTTTTTTTTTCGAAAATCGTCTCTTTTCGTTTCCAAACGAAACGCCACTTTTCGTACGGCCGGGTTTTCGCGTTTCTTTTTTTTTTTTTTTTTTTTTTTTCTCTCGTTTCTTTCTCGTTTCCTTCCCTTTCGTCTCTCGGTCGAATTAATCTTATTCCCACGATCTCAAATTTTTTTACGCTTTAGGAAATTTGTCATTCGTTTGCGAGAAAATTTTCCACGCGTCGAATTTTATTTTTAAGAAGAGGTGGTGGGGACTGATTTGGCGCGAAATTTTAAAAAGCTCGAGCGATGAATTTTTTCTTTTTTTTTTTTTTTTTTTTTTTTTGGAAGAAATATTAATTGGCATAAAATTTTCGGCCACGAGATAAATTGTTGTGCATTCAATTATTACGAATATATACGCGATAATATCAAATGTTAAATTTCGTAGTCTCGATTGTAATATAACAAAACACGAAATGCAACAATTTCTTATAACAATATTTTTTAAAATAATAATTCTTGTAATAGACTATTTAAAAAAAAAAAGTGATGAATATACTTTCAAAGTATATCTTTGCATTTGGTCGAAAATTTGTTGCCCAATGTTCGTCGAATAATAATTCAAACGAAGATTATTATATTAATGTGAAAAAAAAAAAAAAAAGAACAAGAAGACTCGGAACATTTCCCTATCCATTACATTTCTTTTACCTTCCTTTAATTTTTTTCTTTTCTTTTTTTTTTTATTTTTTTAACCCCCTCGTTCCATTCGATCAACGATCCCTAAACGTTTATCTGAAAATGTTCGGTTAAACACACTGAACCTTTGCGTTCCCGGTGTACTGGACCCTCTCAAGCATGGCGCTCTCTAGTTCATCCGTGTAACATTCGTTTCTCTACGTACTTTCAGGTCCCTGTGCACAACTCCATTGTGGTGGCAGTGGTGTACGCTTTCCAGGATTTGTTGGATACAGTGAGACGCGTCCGCTTCGCTGTAGAATTCTCGCGCCACGATATCCTCGAACAGTTCGCCGCCGGTCACGCTGGAAATCAAGGAAATCGTTTGAGACGATTTTCGAGACGAATTTTCTTCGAGAGGAATTCGCAAAACGTTTTCTTTCTTAATCTTTTTTTTTTTTTTTTTTGGAGAAGAAATTTTTAGAAAAGGAGAAAAAATTGGAGATGGATAAATTGGGGGAGGATGATTAAACGATATACGAAAGATCTTGAAATTTTTGTTGAAAATGAATTTTGAGAAATAGAGAATTTGTGGATGGAAATTTAATCGTGATATTAGATATTTAATTTAAAGAGGAATGAAAAATTGAAGGATTCTCGAGTAATTGAATATCAATCGAGGTTGCAATTAATCTTTTTTTTTTTTTTTTGGAGAAGAAATGTTTAGAAAAAATTGGAGATGGATAAATTGGGGGGGAATGATATACGAAAGATCTTGAAATTTTTGTTGAAAATGAATTTTGAGAAATAGAGAATTTGTGGATGGAAATTTAATCGTGATATTAGATATTTAACTTAAAGAGGAATGAAAAATTGAAGGATTCTCGAGTAATTGAATATCAATCGAGGTTGCAATTAATCTTTTTTTTTTTTTTTTGGAGAAGAAATTTTTAGAAAAAATTGGAGATGGATAAATTGGGGGAGAATGATATACGAAAGATCTTGAAATTTTTGTTGAAAATGAATTTTGAGAAATAGAGAATTTGTGAATGGAAATTTAATCGTGATATTAGATATTTAATTTAAAGAGGAATGAAAAATTGAAGGATTCTCGAGTAATTGAATATCAATCGAGGTTGCAATTAATCTTTTTTTTTTTTTTTTTGGAGAAGAAATTTTTAGAAAAAATTGGAGGTGGATAAATTGGGGGAGAATGATATACGAAAGATCTTGAAAGTTTTGTTGAAAATGAATTTTGAGAAATAGAGAATTTGTGAATGGAAATTTAATCGTGATATTAGATATTTAATTTAAAGAGGAATGAAAAATTGAAGGATTCTCGAGTAATTGAATATCAATCGAGGTTGCAATTAAACGCCCTATAAAACGGTGATACTTTCCACGATGGGACATCGATACCTCGCGACCATGCGAGCTCATTAATATGCAAATCAAGACTGATTTAAATTCACGATGGGGGACTGTTCGAATAATTGGCCGGATGACTGGGACAAATTAACAATTATCGGGCAGAATCGCGAGAAAGAGGGAAGAAAGGGAGGGGAATATGAAGACGTTGATGTAACTTTGCTCCCTCGAATGTATAATCATACAGAATTTTGTTAATAAAAATCGGTTAATAATTACTTTTAATTCGGGCGAAAAATTCTTGAAGAGCGAGAAGAAAGATTATTTATTAAAAAAAACTTGTATTAGAATGATTTCAAGTAATAAACAATATAATATAAAATGTTAAAGAAAAGAAACAAGCGATGATATGAAAATCTTTAATAAATAATAATTCTCGATAGAATATTTGATCGAAATATTTGGAAAAAGGTATCCATATACGTGCTCTTCAATATCATATTTCATTTTCAAATTTTAAACTTTTCTTTTTTTATATAAAAATATCACTAAATACGAAATTCAATATTCCACAGACCTGATTAATTGATTATATATAAATTTATATAATAATTCTTTTTTCTGTGCAATAATTAATATTTCCAAATTTTACTTACAGGTCAAAAACGAGGTAATGATAGTTCTCCTCCTGTATGCTGTCGTGTAATCTCACTGTAACAGAAACGAAGACAAAAACCATGAATTTTTCTAAGATCATCGAATCATCGATAATATAATTTTGTAATTTCGACGTATTTTACATTAATATTCTAATCATTCGTTCAAGAGAAATTTCGAAATTCCAACTCTTCTCTCTAACGAAAGAAGCGCGGTTTCGTAAACGTTTTACACGGAGAATTCGTGAGGATTCGAGGGAAGGGAGGATGGAAGGGTTGGATATTCGGAGGGGCGATACGCGATCGATGCGCGAGGCGAGTATCATTTGCATCCGTTTACTCGATCACGACGTTCATTAGGGTCAACGAAGAGACATTCCTCCTCGCGATACAAACCAATGGTCCGATCGTGTGGTGGAATCGGCCTTAATTAATGTCAAGTGAGGCCTGGCGCAAGCGAAAATCGACGTCTCCAAGCGTGAAACGTTACTTGGGGAGGGGGGATCAATTAAAACGGTATTGGTGTCCATGGTGAAACTCTGAAAGCGATTTCCTTTCAGCCTGTTTTCTTTGTCGCGGAAAACGAGAGAAATTGAAGTTCAGAATCGATATGAATTTTAAGGAATTTTAGAGGTTTAATTTCGAAATTTTTGGAGAATTAAAAATTCTTTTAATTTCAAGAAGAGTTATGATTTTGACTTCGAAATATCTAAATAATATGGATATTCTTTCTAGAAATTTACCATATTGAAATGTAATCATCTTTTAGAAATGTAAAAATTTCAATATGAAATTAATTTCGAAAATTGAAACTTGGAAACTTTATAATATGTGAATATAATATGTGTATATATTTTTACAATTCATAGCTCAAATCGAATCGAAGATATCCTTAAAATAATTCGAAATTGGAGAAGATGGTCAAGAAGAAAAATCCGCGTGTATTGGAAATTTTCGGAAGGAGATCTATATATTTCGAAAATGCGACACGAGCAAATAATTCCTTACGATGTGAAAATAAATGGAAATCGCGCGATAAATTTTTCGCGCCCCATTTCCATCCGTTGGAAAATCCATTTCGAATCGTTGAAAACTGAGATCTTAAAGATCCGCGCGCGAATCGAAGATGGATCGCGATCGACGAAGTATCGAGTATCGCGTATTACGCTCGTTAAACCGAGTGTAATAAATAGTAACTGGCCGAATGGTTGGGGTCAACTTCCCTATAAATAACGAAGAGCGAAGATCGAGCGAAAAAGTTGGCGCCGTATGGGATGCGCCACGGACTGTTTATGACGCTGGTTCGAAACGCAAACAAACGATCGCACCAGTGTTGACGGAAGTTGGAAATTTTCGGAAAGTGTTGCGCGTTTCGTCTTCGACGAAATGCAATCTTCCATCAAAAATATCAAACGTATCTCTATTTACTACATTAACCACACAACGATTATTTATTTAATAATAATTTATTTATTTAATAATTTTTTATACAATAAAAAAACGTATATGCGATTCTTCATTTTTCTATATTAGATTTTGCACGATATAAAAATATAAGACTCGATAAATATTTTTCCTATCGTGAAAATTGGAAAATGGATTTCGACGTGATGTTTAAAAAATAGAAAAAATTATCGAGGATCGACGAGAATCGGTCGAATTCGATTTTTTTTTGTTTTTTTTTTTCGTTTTTTTTTACAATTATAATTATTAAAAATTGCGTGGGTTTCGTAAAATCGATGTTGATTTTTTTACTCGATCGTAAAAAATTGTAGGATACTTTTAATTTCGATAATTTTAAATTCGCGTGTGAATATTAAATTTAAATGTAAGTATTAATGTTATTACGAGTCGAGGCAAAAGGAAACGACAACAAACGGTCGACATTGATAATCAAAATATCGATTTCGTACGGAGTCGTATTCCAAACACCGAGCGGAACGGACGTGTTTTTCTCTCCTCGTCGCGAAAGTAAGTCGTATTATCGAATTATTTAATAAATTATTTAATTTTTAAATAATTATAAATTAATTATCGTGGCTATTGCGAAAATTATAAATAAAAAACGCGTTACGAGAAGAAACGAGTATCAGATGCAACGATATTACACAATATTGTTTATAATTTTTCTATAAAAATTCAAAAAAAAATTATAAACAAATTTCTATTACAAAATTCGCAAATATTCCTTTTCGAAATCAATTCAATTACATAATTAAGATGGAATACTCGTTTCACAAGTGTCGTAAAACGAAATTCGTTGTACTTTTTTTTAAAAAAAAAAAAAACTCGCAAGAAGAAAAAAAATTTCTCGTTCCCAAAAAATTCCGGAGAGGTAATTTCGAGATTCGTGGTCGAGATTCGAACACCTTTTTACACCTTTCGTGTACGAAAAGAGATCTCGGTTGTCACGCACGGCTCGACACCGTGTCGGAAAGCGGGCAGAATTTAATGAAAATGGAAGAGATATCGAGGAAGAGGGAAGAAGACACCACCCTCTCACCACCTTTCGAATGATCCTCGAAGCGATTGGGGGGGAGAGAATAAGAGAAGCCTATCTTCTTTGATATCCTCCACCGATTCCAATAAGGATCAAGATCGAAGAAGGATGTTGAAAACGTTATTATGGGAATTTTTATCGACGAGGAAGGATGGTGGTGATGGTTTCGAATCGAGATAATTTTTCTACGACTGACAAGAACTATCGGTTGTCGTTAGGTAAACTTTGTCGAGGAATTCGAAAAGAGAGTTTCGATGGATTCTTTCGTGAACGAAATCGAAAGGGAAAAAATTGTGGAATTTATTTATTTTATTTTATTTTTTTTTTTTCGAATTTAATTTAATTCAATTTAATTTTCTTTCGCGACAAATTCGATCTTAGTACATTCGTTAGTACAACGATGAATTGAAAAGAAATTGCAGTTTTTTTAATATAGAAAAAATTTTGTATTCTCTCGTTCGGATAGAAGTGGATTTTAATGGGATTTTAATGCGATGTTTCTATGTATTTTTATTAGGAATTGAAAACATTTAGACGCAATTTTCTCCAGAATCGCGAATCTTTGTATTATCCCTCTGTATTTTCTATCGATAGATTTTTATATACGTAGTAGTAGTAGAATTTTAGTAGTAGAATTTTTTAGTAGTAGAGTTTTAGTAGTAGAGTTTTCGAGTATTAGATTTTCTACGATAAATTTTGTAATTCGTGTATTCTTATCGAAAATTTATAGATCGAAGTTATTAAAATTTCTGGCAGTTCGAAAATCTAATAAACTTGAGACAAATGGAAGGAAATAATAGTGGCAAATATCGATCCGAGAAGCCGCACATGGACGCATCGTGCCCCGAATCTACGCGTTTTCGCGATCTCGTGACGCAGTTGAACTTTCCTTCAGCCTTTGCCATTAAATTTCCACCGAAATGTCACGCCTCCCTCGTCCAAGATTTATGAAATTATCGATTATCTCTCGTCTGCCGACCCATGAAAGGTCAAATATCCCTCCCTTAATTTCGAATTCACGAGTTTCGCGTTGATCTTTCGCGGTGAGCAAACATTTTTCGAAAAATAATCTCGCCATTTCCGTTTCTTTTTAAGAAAAAAAATTCTCTAAAAAATATCTCATCATAATTTTTAATAAAATAGAAATAGACACGAGATAATTCTTTTATTTTTTCGAATTAGAAAATTCTCGAGATAGCGAAATTTCTTACTTTTTCTTCCTCAAATTTAGACAAAATTAAACGTATAGAAATACGAGACAGAGTACAATTTTCGATAAATTATTTTATTATTTTATTATTATAAATTATTTTATTTATTAAAATTTACGAATCTATCATCTAACGAGGACAATACACAAGAAACTTGCTGTTTCAACAGAAACAAAGAGAATTTTTATTCGAATTTATGTTCCCTTCCCCACATCTTAAATCCCAAGAACGCCACGAATTCGCAGCAGAATGCAACAGAAAAATTTCAACGCGTAGCGTATGAAACGCGTATCAACCATCGAAAAGGAAAAAGAAGAGAGATAGAGAGAGAAAAGAAATACGTGGATGCATATAACTTGGTCGAGGATTGGAAGGAAGAGAAATGGAGGAAATCGTGGTCTCGAGAAGACGAATCGAGGGAGAGAGGAGAAAAAGAGGAAGAAGAAACATGAATCGAGGTGGCAGCAAAAGAGACAAGGAAGAAGGAGGATCGATAGGTATCACTTGTTGACTGGAATGGACGTAAGCCGGTTGCGCGCCATGATGGAAAGAGGACGGGGTTGGGTAATTCGCATCGGTCACATCCACCCGATGGATAGAGCCGTACGATGAATAAAAGAAACCCAGCCTTTATGAATTATGGAATCGACTCGATTTAACGAACCTCACCCTTTCCTTTCCTCCCTCGTGGCTTTTGTCAGCGGGATATCGCCTTCTAATTCGTTCCAGCCACCTCTTACACCTGTTCCCCTCCCCCCTATCCTATTCGACGATCGATCCACGAAATATCGAATGGGAAATGGAATTTTTCCAACGTTGAAAATATATCGGTGATTATAATAATATTGAAAGATTGAGTTGCGGTGATTTTCTCGTAATCGTGTAGTTTTGCTATGCTAAATGTCGACGAGTTTTTTGGAAGAATTAATTCTGTCGAGAGATGGGGGAAGGATTCGTTGAAATTATCATGGTTTTTTGGTAATGATAAAGTGTTGAAAATTTTGTTGGAGTTAGAGTAGAGTTTTGGATAATATAGTTTTGTTTAAAATTAAATATGATATAAACGAACAATAATTTGTTGGAAGAGTTTAGTAATTCTCTCGAGAGATGGGGGAAGGGGTTCGTTTGAATTATCATGACTTTTTATGATGTAATGATAAAATGTTGAAAATTTTGTTGGTTAGAATAGAATAGTGTAGTTTTGTTTAAAATTAAATATGATATAAACGAACGATAGTTTATTAAAAGAGTTTAGTAATGTAATTCTGTCGAGAGATGAAGAAAGAGTTCGTTTGAAATATCATGGCTTTTTGGCAATGATAAAGTGTTGAAAAAATTTTGTTG